GTCAAGAATCTAGAGCGTTGAAGCTTGCATTTGTTAATGCCAAAAATTCGTCCTTTTATGTAAAAAGCAAGAGGTGTGCGATAGACTTACCTCCATATGTTGCGGACTGGGCAACGTATACTCATATGGCTACCATGATCCTACTGTATGCCATATTCAACCACTTACACAGTACTCACCTTACCTTTTCTCTGCCTTTTTGTCTGTCTGTCTGTCTGTCTATTTACACCTTTGAATCACTCTTCTGTTAAACCTCTCTACGTTTTTCACTTTAATGTTCCTCCCCTCTGTAAAGTTCGAGATCAACTAAAGGACTAATGATAACTATCAAAACGCCTACCATTTGCAATATAATAAATGCAAGAAGCAAGCGAATTTATGATTTTCTCGTGAAGAAAAATTAAGTCTTTCCCCTGAACATGGCATTGTCCAACTTAGAACGTGCCTCTTCAAAGAATAGCTTTTGCACATTCAATGACCTCTTAGTGGCATTATTGTTAAGTTTGACCATTTCATATGCTTGAATGGCAACACTGTGAAAGTGAGTTAAAATGAGAGGTTTTACGAAAATCGATTGCCAACTTACTTATCTTATCCTTGAGTTCCTTCATCTTGTTGAGCAGGGCTTCAATATCCCGGCCAAGTTGGCTAACATCTGTGCTGGTCCTCTTGCCGATTTCAATCACTGAGTTGGCTTGTGGTCGAACGCCCTCCAGGACGTCAGAACTGCTCTTGAAATCCGATTTCACCTGACTATAAAGCGCGTCCTCGTCCTCCTGCTTCTTGCTCAGAGCCTCCATCTCTTCAACCTGTTTCGCTACCTGTTAAGCAATAGATTATTGATGGGTAAATGGGCGTGATTTTGATAAATAAGCTGTAGCCTTTTGGGTCAGGCGTTTTATCGTCTTTTCCGCAATTTCAATGTTTATTTATTTATTTCAAATGGCAGGCTTTATGATATTTATCATTAGCCCTTAAACTTTGACTTCATCTTCCACCAAGGGTGGGGGGAGGGGTTGGGTACAATTATAGCTATTAATTAAAAGCGGTTCATTAGCTGACTTCTTGCTTCCCAGTAGCACTGGCTTTCCGTCCTTGTCTTTAGGGCTGGACACCGAATCAGGTGCCCTATCGTTGTCTTTAGGGCTGGACACCGAATCAGGGGGGGGTGTGGGTTGAGTGTATACTCTCAATCTGTGAAGGTGTTTTGATTGTATACTCCTAATCTGTGAAGGTGCTTCGCCAGAGTGTATAATCCCAATCTGTGAAGGTGTTTTGCCAAGCAACCGTGTCAGGTACGTAGTCTAAACTCAGCAATGGCTTCGATTCTTGGCTAGTCGGGTCGAAGAGTGCCACTGTCCACTGTTTCTCCTTTCTTCGAGGTAAGACTCAGCAACGGCTTCGATTCTTGGCCAGTCTAGTCTAAACTCAGCAACGGCTTCGATTCTTGGTAACCGTGTCAGGTACGTAGTCTAAACTCAGCAATGGCTTCGATTCTTGGCTAGTCGGGGTCAGAGAGTGCCACTGTCCACTGTTTCTCCTTTGTTCGAGCTTCCCACTGTTTCTCCTTTGTTCGATCTTTAAGTTCGTTGCACTTTGAGGTCTTTAAATTCTCTCCTGATTATGGTCTCCATTGTGTGGAAAGACATCGGGCGGTCCATGCATTGCGAAATCGTTGTCCCCTTCTTAGCAAGTGTGTCAGCAAGCGTTTTATCGTCTTTTCCTCAATTTTAATGTATTGTCTGGGTTAGAAATACCCGGTCGGCAATACTTAATTAGGTGATGGTATTGAATTTTCAAAGGGAGTTTGAATTTGCTGGTAATTACAATTTCTCCCAATCCCAGGAGGGAAGTTCATTTATTATCGAACCACTGAGGTCTATTTTAATGGCGTGCTCTTTAGTGAGAGGGAGGGAGGGAGAGAGGGGGTGGGGGGGGGGGGGAGAGACCTAACACATGTCGTTGCCGATTATCAGATTTCAATGAGCGGTTAGAAATTGGTAGCATCCACCCACCTCAGCGTCCAGTATCTAGGTCATGCATGGGTGTTGGGTAATACAGCACTCTCGTACACGCAGAATACCTGCAAAAGGGCCTTGAGACATGAGTAAACACGCGACTAAGTTGTGCAGATGAATGCGATTTCAGCCTGATTGGCCCCTGTTGACTGCACAGTAAATAACTAGATCTAAACAAACTAGCTTTAGTCCAGCTTAG